CACACACACACACACACACACACACACACACACACACACACACACACACACACACACACAGCTGACAGAGAGAGAGAGAGAGTAAACAACGGACAATCGTGAACTTCAACATGGCTGTCCTGAATTCTTGTGTGCTCTTCCTATATCTCTCACCTAACTGTCAAAGTTCAGCAATCAATTATCTTCACGAAGGAAATGAGAACAATCCTTCAACGACTCAATACGTGATCCCCTTCTCCTCCTCTATCCTTCCAAAACTCAGTACAGGCTTATCCTCCTCCCCCTCCACTTGAAACACATGTGGCCCGGAAAAAAACGATTCCACACAACATTGTCCAGGCCCGCTCACAGACACTCCGTCATCCCAATAATCAACCAAGCACACTCTCATTGACAAAACAAAATGTCATCATGCCCACCATATCCAATGACCCAATCCGCAACTGCTCCCACATCGTCACCATACCTAATTGCATCACGACTGACTGGCAAGTTGTCTAGAGCTGTTTTCAGATCTTTTGCTCGCTGCTCTCTTTCCAGGTTCATTGCAGAAGAGTCCAAAGCATGAACCTGCAACCAACAACAAACTGCGCAGTGAGACAGAAGAGTTGAAGCCATACAAAACACAGCTACAATCTTTTCTCAGAATACGAACTCCTCCAAGTTTCATCCCTCCAAGCAGTTGTTAGTGGGCCAGCCCAAAGTACCAACCACACACCAGCCGCCGCTGGCTTAGCCACGTCACGTATCCCTGTGAATATCCAATTATGCTATCACTGGAACCACCCGTGCCATGGGTGCACTTAACAAGCATTGCTCTCTCAGCTTGTCATGGGTGAATATTTCCTGACATGTGTCATTCAATGAGGCACATCACACATTCATTTCATTGACATCCCTGAAGAGAAGTCCTGGAAACTGGCATAAATGATACAGAGCTACTGGTACTTCCATACAGCAAAGCTTGGGGCCAACAACGACAGACTTGCGTGGACTTCCTGATGTTGATCAATTGTCTGAAGCCTTTACAAAGCCAAGCAAGAAGTCATTCCATACTACTAGGCAAAGGTCAGCATGACGCAATGTTTAGATATCATTACGGTGAGTTCAAGCTCTGGCTACATCGAATCACCTTGGAATCACAGAGTACAAGCTCTGGCTACATGGAACCCCCTTGGAATCACAGAGCACAAGAGTCCTCAGACAGAAACTATGACAATTCAACAACAAGCAAATACAGAAGAAGACATGGCCGGGAGCATTGCAGCTCCATTCTTGGAAGGAAACACTTCCAGCTGCCCAATCTCGTGCACAGTGAACTCTTGCCCGCACAGAGTAACCACCACACACACACACACACACACACACACACACACACACACATGCACATGCAGGCATGCAGGCACCCATACATCTAGTGAAGTGGGAACGACTGAAGAGACTGGCGGAAACATACCAAGCGTTGATCTCTGACAGCAGCTGCACCCTCCTTAAGAGGTTGCTGGCTATCATCACTGCTATCTGGGCCGGAAGGTTCCTCTCCATTTCGACGATGGCATTCTAGGCCGAGTTTGGCTGTGTGCCATATGCTTCATCCACAAGTCATGGAGACATTACATGCATCACGCGGTAACACACACACACACACACACACAACACACACACACACACACACACACACACACACACACACACACACANCACACAACACACACACACACACACACACACACACACACACACACACACACAACACACACACACACACACACACACAAAACACACACACACACACACACACACACACACACCAGAATGACAATCAGTTCAATAAGCAAACCAACAAATTGATCAATGAGTCAGTGATTCGTCAAGTAGTCAACTGCTCCATTTACCAAACCCACCCGATAGACTTCATTGGCCATTTCTCGTTGCTGGCAGTTGCTCCTTTTCGCATATAGGTTCCGATATATGCAGCGCAATTTGGACATAAGGGAAACCAATTTCGATAGCCTTCCCTGTGCGCTATAGACAAAAAATCAAAGTCAGTTTGCCGGATGATGAAACTGCACCACATTTGACCAAATTCACATGGAAAAAGAGGAACTAATGGTCCTATTTGTTTTCAGATAGCAGGTCTTCAGAGGCTTGCAACGGCATTCCTACACTCTTTCCAGACAAATAGAATCTATTTTGTCAATGCCAATTATCACCTCTGTCCCTCAGGTAGATGATGACAAATGACCTTGACCTCACCCAGCCTCTTCCCAAAATATAAATATATTACGCCAAATTTGCCGACATCAAAACCCGATTGGTCTCACAACAGGCTCTTGGAGTCGCGCTCTGCAATTCGACAATTGTCGGGTACGGCGACCACGAGGATGTGCGGGAAAACGAAGGAGGCAGTAGTTCCATGGGAAATAAGGCCCTGTTCGCCATACGCGCATCACAACTCTCTCTCTCTCTCTCTCTCTCTCCCTCTCCGTTGTTTTCCACATTGATTCTCTACTTCTTCCTTGTCCGAGACACCACGCGCCCCAGCGCTAACACATACCTTGCAAACGTCTCGTTTTCGATCGAGCTCCATCCACCTTCCCGAAATGGTTCATCATCCCCCCCTCCCTCCCCCTCCTCCTCGAATCCTATCCGCCTTCGGGAGCTCGTCAAATCGTTCAGCACGTTGACCGCTGAACGAACGAGAGTTTGATCTCAACCTCCGATATGATTACATCGAGCAGGGTACAGCTAAGAGGTATAGCTCCCATCACTGCCCAGCACCTAGAGGTATAGCTAAGAGCTGGGTACGCCCTTAGAAGTATAGATATGAGCAAGGTACGCCCTTAGGTGCATTCCCACTGCCCTTCGAGAACCCCTCCTCCATTCCTCCCTGTCCCTGCGATTAGCCGATTATGGACTACCTATGAGCAGGGTACCTCGGTGCTTCTTTTTCCAGGGCCCAAGACCAAGTACACTTTTTTTTCCAGGGTCACACTTTTGAAGATCGCTCTGCTTTAAGTTATACGATAGTAGTAGCAGAAACTGCTAATTCTGGAGCTTCCCTTGCAGAACGTTTCATGTATAAAGGACGTCATACGCTGGTAGTTTATGACGATCTTTCCAAGCTTATGATGATCAAGCTTACAGGCAAATGTCTCTTTTATCTAGACTCAAAGTTGCCCCAAATACCGCTGTGACCGTACGTTGTATTCCGGTGAAGAACATAGCACCTAGATCAACACAAACACTCCACAACAAAACAACTCCCCTCCCGAAAAATGCTAGTTCTCGTATTAATCAAGAACAAAACTCTCTCTCTCACTCCCCTCCCGAAAAATGCTAGTTCTCGTATTAATCAGGAACAAAACTCTCTCTCTCTCTCTCTCTGTGTCTGTCTCTGTGATATAAAAAGAACAAAAACTCGGTACGAGGCGCACAGGAGGACGGTGCGCAGGGTATGGAGGAGAGGGACAAGGGCGAAAAGAGGGCAGAAAGAAGATCGGGACTTGGTAAGATAATCCACTTGGCAAGAAGTGCGGAAAGATAACCAAGTTGGACAACCATTTTTCAGCCATCTTTCCAGAAATTTTTCTTTTAAATGCAACTATCTTATTACTTGTCTATGGAGTGATGATTTTGAGCACTTCAAAAAGATGTGATCGTCCACCATTAGTGCGTACGGAGAGAGACAAGGGCGAAAAGAGGGGAGAAAGAAGATCGGCACTTGCTAAGATAACCAACTTGGCAAGAATTGAGAAGGGGTCACAAACAGGAATAGCGAGGAGAAAGAGGGGGGGGGGGAAGCGAGAGGGCATCCATCCAGGGAAACAAAGGAAGGGAAAAAAAAAACGAGCAAGAGAAAAAGAAGATAAAAGCCATCCAATGCGCAGAAAAAGAGAAGAGCTGACACCGATGAGAATGAAGAGGGAGGCATGAGAAAAGGGAGAAGGGGAGGCCGCGAAGGGGGCCCTCGGGCGGGGGGCAGGAAGAGCTAGCTGACCTCCTCAGCAGGGAGAAATAGGGCGGCGGGAGTGGAGGAGAGAGAGAGAGAGAACTCCACGACCTGCTCAGAGGGGAGAAATGGGTCACCGAAAGTGCAAAACCGTACGAGAGGTAACATTGCGCAAGCGCTGAGAGAAAGGGAAAAAGGAGGAGGCCACCTCCCACCCCCTGAAAACATCTGGCGCGGCGTTGTCCTCCCCCTCCCACATCCTCCGTGACATCATGTGATTGGTGAGACGATCCAGCAGAGCAGTTTGAGGATGGCCGGGGAGAATCAAATAGTGGGGGAGCACAGGGTAAAGATGGTGTCCTTCTATCAGAAGCGATAAAGATAAAGATTATGGTAAAATAGGGGTCAAGGCCTATTCAGAAGCGATAAAGATTCTGGTAGAAGAGGAGTCAAGGCCTATTCAGAAGCGATAAAGATTCTGGTAGAAGAGGGGTCAAGGCCTATTCAGAAGCGATAAAGAGGGGGGAAGGCATAAAATGGCATTACCGGTAGGTTAGAGAGGAAGGGGGGAAAGAGAAACATACAAATAAGGATTTATTTTTTAAGGAAAAATTAGGAACAAACGGGCGGAGATGGCGAGAAGGAGATAAAGGGAAAAAAAAGAGAGACATGGAGACAAATATAGCCGAGGGGCAAACGACCGGAGACGAAAAACGGAGAGCAAGAGGACCAAAAAAGAGAAGAAACAAAAAAAAAAAAAAAAAAAAAAAAAAAAAAAAAAAAAAAAAAAAAAAAGATAAAAAAAAAAAAAAAAAAAAAAAAAAAAAAAAAAAAAAAAAAAAGGCGGCCGGCAGATCAAAGAGTACACAACGATGTGAATAAAAAGCGGTTCAAAGAAAAAGGTCCGATGTGAGCGTGAGGCTGCTAAGCATGAGGAACAAGAAAATGAAAAATGTGTCCAGTAAAAAAAAAAAAAAAGGCGACCGCACACTGGGATTTTCTGGCACTGAATCCAGCTACATGTACATCCTAACTGGGACAAGTCACGTGGACAAGTCTTTCCTAATATGGAACAGGACGAGGATAGAGTAAGAGTGAAAAAAAAAAAAAAAAAAAAAAAAGAGAGTAAGAGTGAAGCGGAGAATTCTGGCCTGCGCTTGCAACATAACTATGATTGCTGAGTGAAAAAAAAAAAAAAAAAAACGAGAGTACGAGTGAAGCGAGACTTGATCTTTTGATCTGTGATTCATCAATTCCTGACACAGAGACAAGATTCCCTCTCGCGCCAAGATTGACACAACGAAACGAACGCCCAAGAGGTACGTCATAAAAGGAGGAGGAACAGAGAAAAAGGAGGGAGATCAACGAAGAGAGAACCGCGGGGGAGGCGACGAAAGGGCGCAAACCGATTTCAAATACAAGAAAAGGAGGAAGAAAAGGCGACAAACCGATTTGAGAAAAACGGAAGGGAAAACCGGATATCGTAATGTAACGAGAGAACGGCGCAAACAGGAGAGAAGAAAAGAGGAGAGGGAAAGAGAGAGAAAGAGAGGAGAAAAGAAAGTGAGAGTAAAGGAAAAAGACAGGTCGATAAAGAAAAGCGCATGATGTCAGAATCCATAACGTGTAGCCAAGCGTGAGAAAGACGGCGAAGAAATGAGGACACAGAGAGAGAGAGGAAGCGATAAGGGAAGAAGGGAGAGAGAGAAAGAGAGAGAGAGAGAGAGAGGCTGAGAGAGAGAGAGAATCTGAGAGTGTGAGATAACAGATAACGCACATACTGCCTCTGCGCGTTCTTGCACGTGGACCCCACTTACTCATCCTTCCCACTCCACTTACTTAGCATCATCAAGCTGCCTTTAATGGCGACTGCTAAGATCATTGAGACTTCGACGGGAACCTGAAGCCTAGGGGAGGCAGGGGGGAAACGAGATAAGGAAAGAAAAGAGAGAGGAAAGGAACAGGAGAAGAGGGTAAAAATGTGCCTTGCAAGAGGACGAGATCTCAAACACAGACTCTCTCTCTCTCTCTCTCTCTCTCTCTCTCTCTCTCTCTCTCTCTCTCTCTCTCTCTC